AATCTCACTAGTCTTATGCTGGCATTAGAACAGATTTACAATTACCAGCTATATTACTGTGCAGCAAGGCACTCAAGTAGCTCTTGTGCTTGAGTATGCCATGGGATAAAGTGAAACAATTTAATTTAGATAAATAGATCCCCAAAGATCTATCAGCAGATGAGACTTCTTGGAACACTGTCTTCACAGATCTCTGAACAGAGCTTGATGTGAATGCCTGCTATATCACCTCTCTCCCTACCAAAATCCTGCTCGCAGGCAGTGTAGTGTGTTTGATATCGTCTCATGTTTATTGCCACAGAGATTATAGGTTCCATGACAGAAGTTTATCAGCACTCTTATTTTTCCAGTATTACATATTGTTAAAAGAAATGAGTAAAAGAACTGTTCCCTCTAGACAGTGAAATATGCTTAAGTAGTTTGCTGGATGAATTTTAGAAATTATATTTACAACAATAGAGGACAAGGTACCATTTTAATTATTAAAAGATATGTGCAAGAGCTCTGGAATTAATTTTATTTACTGAAAAAACTATCTCTGTTTTAAGTATTAGACAAGGTTGCTGCTTCAGGAGGATGTTTTCTAAGGCTGCATGTTGTGAATTAGATTCCTCTGATATTGTTACTCTTTCACTAAGAAAATATATATACACATATATTTAGTTTAGTCCAGATAAATAAATGAGACTATTCTTTGGGGCAAAAGATGATCATTTAACACAGCTGTGCATCCTCAGATCTCTACTTGTTAGGAGGTGTGCAATTTAATGCAGTAATAAATAGGAACAGAAGCTTCACAGAGAGACACTGAACACAGTCTTTCTCAATCAAAAAGACCACTGCTTTGTTTCAAAACCTCTCAGACTAAATGATGCTTTCATGTTATGTTTTATATTTGACTCATGCCTCTTGCAAAGTTTTGGCATATCAGTAAATGCACAACTGGAAAAGCAAAACTCAGCATTTCTTCCCAACACACTTGACACATGTCAGCATGCCTAATGCCAGTCTGCCAGTCCTTGCTTGTTCTAATAACATCTCTTGAAGTGGCTTTATTCCACATTATAGACAAGAATGGAAAATCCCAACAAAGTTACTCAGCTATGTTTGGAGAAAAACTTGTGGAGAAGCATTGCCCAGAGGAGAAGTGGTGCCCAGAGGAGCTCACAGATGTGGAAACAAATGAGGCCACATGATGTGGCAGGAATGGGCAGCACCCTCAGAGCAGTGGAGGCAGAGGTCTCTGGACGTATCTATTCTGAATGGAGGACAGCTGGTAAAGAAGAAGAAAAGATATAACAGATATTAGCCCTTACAGGAACACTATTTTTTTCCCTCTCAGTGATATTATGGGTATTCTTTTTTCCATGTTTTGTTTAGCTTTTCTTTAATGTTCAGCTTGCATATTACTATCTGTTTCATTTCTCTTCTCTTCAACTGACTTGTGCACCAGCATGCAACTAACAGCGGAGATTCCATATATTTGCAACTAATAATCTGGTCATTTTTCTATTCCAGCGCTGACTAGTAAACATTCTTCTGTGCATTTGGTCAGATCATCAATTTATGTTCATAAGCTTTTCCTGAAGTTTGCACAGTCTTTCTAATGGCATATTCCAGCTCAGCTCCTTCATTATTTTCCATGCTGGGACAACCACACTTGTGTTGTTTGCAGTCTGCTGTATATTAGTTCTAAATGCTGTTGTAATTCAAGCCTTTTTTTAATGCATTTTATAATTTTCCTCACTGTCACACTATCAAATTCCTGACTTTACATTCAAAATTTCAGGCAGGGGCACTTCATTTACCCATCAATAGTCATATTGCTAAGTTAATTCTGGTCTTCATCAGGCTGAGCACCTTGCCTCAAATTGTGGTCCTACGTTGTTTTTACAAGGACCTTCCCAAAATTACCTTTAAAAATTAAACCAGTCAAATAACTCCATTCACTTGCATATGTAATGTCTTGCTCAAAAACACATTGTTTCTGAGGCTCTTTTCAGTGTATTTTCATACTTCGAATGTAGTCTCATTTTAACCATCTCTACTTGAATAAGCAAAAATAATGAAAAACGTGAGATTCTTGAGTATCACCTACTTTCAGAAATACAAATGTTTCTGCTTGACTTCTTTTTCTGATAGCTCCAGTTCCTGCCAAAATGAAGGCATGTCTGAAACTTCTTCATCAGCCTTCCCCATTTCCAGTGTTTCAGTTCCCAGTGGAGGATAATCTGCTCCTTCTTCTTCTGAAGCTGGGGTCATTGTTTCCACTGCTACTTTGGCTGCTCTGAACCAGCATCTGGATGCAATCAACATCCCCCATAAAGCCACTGCACGACCCACCCCCCTTACCCCTAGAGCTGAACGTGTGAGGGGCCTCCAGTGAAGCCATTGGGAATAAGCTTCCCCTGCAAGGGCTGAGATAAGTCCATAAGCAATTCTTACTGCAGGAGGCACATGGCAACACAAGGGAGAGTTGTTTTTTCTATTTGTATGTAAATACATCTGCCACCCTTCCCTACCATGTAAGACAGTGTTTTTAATGAGACACAAACAGGAAGTGGTTAAAGGAATGTTTCCAGGCAATTTATTCAAGTTGATTAATCATTACAGATAATCTGAACGCAGCTAATGAAAGTGACGAGAACTCAGAAGTTGAGTACTCCTTTGACACCATTTGCTCCAACACAAAAGCTAATTCAGCTGTACAAAAATAATTGACTTATGAAAAATTATGTAGGTGATGTAGCTGGCCATTGTCATTCAGTCTTGCATGAGGTGTCTTACAGGCTTATCCATAAATACAACTTCCAAATAACCTGCACTAGCCTAAAATGTTTGTGGATGACTTGATAATATTCACAACTATGTTTGCATTTTTTCCCCAGAAAGATAGACACAAATTAAATGCTGATGATGATAGCAGATAGCAGACAAATCTCTTCACGGGTATTTTCAAGTTCCATAGTTTAGAAAATGCAAAAAATTCTGCAGAAACAATTAGTTGTGTCTTGCTGTAAGTTACTGAACATTTAATCTGATTCTGCCAAGGACTAATCAGAATTTCTCTGTGACTGTTGGAAAATGGCATTTTTGCAACATTACAGGTTCCTAGAGGGTGTGGTGGTGGTGGAAAGATTTTGCTAGTTATACTCTAAATTTCTGGATAGGGGAACCGTCCTGCTTTTCAGACTTGTTCAGTTCAACATTAGACTGCTGCTGCCACTGATGCCATGCTTCATCAGTTTCCCAAGTGTTGGGAGCATTTGCTAGATTTATTTCCCATCATGAACTGTTTTCCCCTTGCTGCCTAAATCACATACTGTGTCACTGCAGTCTCTATACTGCAAGTGCATCGTATGGGAAACAGTGGGTAGAGAAGATCTTGATGCAATAGAAAGGTACCATTATGCAATTAATGCCTTTAATACTTCGGCCAGAGTTGTTCAAGTGATGCCTTGTTATTCTTAAATGTAAGTTCAGAAGTTTTGTGGCTACTTCAGTCATTCGAGACAGAATTGTTTAAGTAAGGCAGATCTCCATTGGATGTGTAGTCTCATTTTTTTCCCAAGTTAATCTGTTTTAGAGCCAGAAGAGGGGCTTAAAAACTTCATTGGCACTTCTATCCGTTGTGTGGTCTTTTAAAATTCAAATTAATCCAGAAGAGTAATTTTGTTGGAGTGGGTCCTTTTCTACTCACATCACTTATTATTTGAATTTCTTATATTCAAAGTATTTTTTTCTTTGTATTCCTCAATTGCCACTTTAGTGACAACAGGCCAAATTCAGAGTTCCCTGTTCATTGGTAAACACAACCACTTTATTGACTCTCTTGCAGGTGTTCTTCCTCTGCAGCAGTGTCAGTAGGCCTAGGTTTTCCTCCACAAATTAGGAAGGTCATGTTTGTACGTGGCACATGTACAAACAAGATGAAGCAAAGAAGAATTATAATCAATTTATGTGAGTTACAAGGGATTTCTGTAACAGTAACATTCATGTCCTCTTTCAGAAGGAAATTCATGTCCTCTCAAGTCAGAAAAGTATTCTCATTTACCTTTGAGTATGTGACAGTGATCTATTGTCCTCTTGGTAAGTCTAGAGCTTTAATGTCAGTGACACCTAAGCAAAATAAACTTATTGTTACAGTTGAAAGAAAAACTTCAGACATGATAAAAACCTGAGCATCTACTATGCTTTTGTTTTACTGGTCCTTAAAATTCCCTCCAGAGATTGGTCTGCTTTAATGAGTTAAGTGTCTAGGGGGGCTCTGTCCATTTTGTCAGTTCTGCTTCAGAATTATACATGGTGGATTCCCTCCCAAGGATAGTTTGATTTCTGTTAAATAAAGAAATATTCACCATAGCTTCCAAACATAATTTATTCAAACTCTCTTGAAACGTATTGATTTGGGTGTTCAAAGTGAGTGATTTGTAGCAGTGAATAAATCCCTCCCTGGGGAACAAAGGTGTCTACTGAAGATGAGACTTGGAGAGAATCCCAATGCAATCTCAAGTGCACAAGGAAAAGATTAATTATATCTGTCCCAAAAACACTTGTGGATAGAAAGCTGGAATTGCACAGAAGAGACTGAAATCACTATTGACCTCTTGCACATTAGCAGAAAACAAAACAAAACAAAACAAACAAACAAACAAACAACATAAAACTAAAAAATAATAAAAAGAATTTGGTTTGGAGATATAAAAAGGTTTTGAAATCTCTTCAGCATCACATTTTCTCCA